GTGTACTTACTCGTGATCTGGTTAGGATCAATGGCCGAGCGCCTTCGGCTAGGTGAGTACGTTAAAACTAATGTGGTCAGCATAAAATTTCGAAGATTCACAGAGCTATCGATTTTGGGGATTTACTCACCGCTACAACTTTTTTTAGCATGAATTTTTAAATATATTCAGAAGCACCATTTTATAGAATATCTGGACATAGCCGTATCGTTTCCATAGAGGTCAGGAATTTGTGCTCACTTGAAGAAGAGTAAAGCAGTGTAGTCGATCAACTGGAAGAAACGTAGTATATTCGTGGTGACATACGTCTAGTGTAATCCGAATGTTGATAATGAGTTTGTCTCGTGTAGAAAGGGAAATTTTTCAAAGTTTTCAGCTGAAAAGTGTTATAATAAGAAGTATTTGAATTATTATACTACTTAGGAATTCCCGAAGTAGTACAATTTACACCAAATGGAACTAGATGAGCACAAACGAACGTGATGTATTTGGTATTCAAAATCAGGCAGCCATCAAGTACAAAAGAATCATTGGTTCATACAAACACCACAAAAAGCCAGGAAATATGTATTGTAAGTGAGGAGTTGCAAAACAGACTAGGCGTGTTCACACTGATCTTCGGTTTGTTGTTAGTGTTTAATTTTTCAAATCATACATGCCCACTAGTCATTGGATGATGAAAAAGGCTTTGAAGTTGTTTGATAGAAAAGTAGTATAACCAAAATAACAAGAAAGTTGCTAGACTTCACGGTAAGCAAGCCATATCGGTAACTTCTAAAATGTTTGAGATGGGTCCCATGGCGAACATGAGAAATTTTCATGGTCTTTGACAAAGTGTCAAATAATTATAATGCTAATTTTCATCCCAAAAAAATTATTTCACTATTTTTGGGAAGAAGTCTATGGTTATGGAGTTTTGCCTAGCTAAAATATTATTTGTAACCTGATATGCTGAAAGCTCTGCTCATAATAAGTGGAACTAAAAGAGGACCGATGCTAGAAATAATCTGAAATCTAGTTAACTAAACATGGATATATGAAGTGTGTATGATAACTCATGTTATTCCACATATCTACACTCCTCCTGTGTAGACAAAATCGAGAACAGAACTGAATTAGAAAAATATCTTGAAATTTCGGGGTGGGTTAATAGTGTTAAATAATCTATATATTTACTCTTATTTAAAGAAATCATTTGTTGACCGCTAATACGACCATTACCAATGAATGCTAGATTACGAGCTTCATTGTAACAGCTAGTGCAAGTAGCCTGAACATGCCACATATAACAGTAAGACGAAGACGTCATTGTGAATGTAATTCATTGCATGAGAGATTCGCCAAGTACAGACTCACACAAGGTAACCTTATTTAAATATCCAGATTATGACTGGCGTTTATAAAAGAAAGAGGAATTTTATGGCGTTGACAGTATGAGATCAGAATGACTGTGTAAGTCATTTCAGATTTTTACAGACTGCATATACGGCATCATAAGTATCGGTAGCTTTCGTCTCTTATGTTAAATATTCTAATAGTTGTATAGATCCTTGCGTAGAATTAAGTACTTAAATTCGAGAAAGTAAGCTATCGTCGAATTAGATTTGTAGCCGATTCTCAATAGTGTAGTTTTATTTTCCTTTTTTACGAATGATGCATATGAACTAATTATTTTGGCGTATCATCTCATGGAACATCACTTCAAATCTAAATTTATCATTCATTACACGAAATGGTAGTAGATTGTATCTTCAATACACTTAGTCACCGACAGTAATGGAATGAAGATTCAATTGATTGCTAGATAATCCAACCTCTCTGAAATGACGCTTTATGACTTACGGTCTCAGAGGAGTTCACAAACTTAGATGACTTGTATTGTATATAGTACAGCTAGTTATGTCGAGTGTATGGAACTTTCTAATTACGAAACCTTTAAAATATGGTGAGAATTTGTGGAAGTTGACACGAAAGCGAAAGGATAGATTCGGGAAAGATGTTTTTGTACTCTAGTCACAAAGAATAAACTGCTCCACAAACTCAGGGATTTCCTATGATGCTATCCAAAGAAGCTAATGGATCCAGGAATATCAAACTAATCTTCAAAAATTTTGGGGACGTTAGATCCTCAGAACGCACTTGGAAAAGGTCCTAACTTTTGTAATTTTATTCCGAAGATTGAAATTTCTTTGTTTTCGCGTCAAAAGCGCTCTTTTGACCTTTATGTCGTATTTCCAACTTGGGGGATCCTAGACGCTATTGGTCCTTTGTGCCTTTTAGTATGCTATATTGTAACTCTCCAGGGACGGTTTTGTGCTGTATACATACGTTTTGGTTTGTGTCTGTTCTTATCCCTCGTGTTTCTGCGGATTATACTTCTCCGTTCAGACTTTGACTTCTCTCTCTAGTTAGCGGGGCTGGGACGCAGTGGAATAGTTAGTATATTGGTCTTTGGTCACAATTTTTTGTTCTGTTCGCAGACTACGTGAACTCGTAAACGCTTCAAACATAGCGAAAACGAAAAGATTACAATGGATATTATCCAATGTTATGTGCCCACCAATGATAGCGATGAAGACGATAAAGACCAGCTCTACGAGAGGCAGCAATCGATCATACAGAAGTGCCCAGGAAAGGATCTCACTTCCTGATGATGGACCTATACGCCGAAATTTTACGTCGGAATGGACATAAACGGTTATGAAGATATCATGGGATGACATGGAGTGACAGGGAGAAAGAAACGAGAATGGTAACAGATTTGTAAATCTATGTGCATTCAACAAGTTGGTTGTAGGCGGCAGTACTTTCGTACACAAACACATACACAATGACACACGAGTTCAATCGGATCACACTACAGGGAATAAGACTGGTCATATTCGCATCACTAAAAAATTCAGAAGATCAATGGAACACGTGAGAACCCGGAGAGGGACTGATATAGCTTTACACCACCACCTGGTGGTGGACAACTAGAGAAACATTTACTTTTCTGGTTAGCGACTTTTTAGCCAGTTAGTTTTCTACGGGATGTAATCGCTAACCCCATGCCCAACCCTCCTCCTTTGTCCGGGCTCGAAGCCGGCAATGGTCCCAGAGGGGCTCCAGGCGGAGTTAGAGAAACATTACAAAGGTTCGGTACAGCGTTCATAAGAGAAACTGGCAAACTCAACGAATTCAAGATAATTCTCAACAACAGGTTCCAAGCCTTACAGGATCTGCTGAAATAAGAAACTACTAAGGAGGACAACCAGAAAGGGATAGAAGAAATGCTGACTTAAACGTGTCAGAATGTGCTGGTCCGCAAGAGGCATCATCATAATAAATAGATCTCCATCGAAACCCTAGACAAGACTCAAGCAAGGATGAGCAAGAAAACAGCAATCAAAAACAGTCGAACAAGAACAAAGAAAGTTAAGGCACAAGCTGAATACACAGAAGCAAAGAAGAAAGTGAAAAGCATTAGACACGACTAGCAAAAATACGTGGAAGATCTAGCAACGACAGCGGAAAAAGCTAAAAGACAACCAAACGACACAACGAAGAAACTGACAGGGAAATATAGTAAACCAGAGAGACCGATCAAGGACACTGAAGAAAGACAACCACCAAGATTGAAGAACAGATGGGTAGAATACTTCGAGGAACTTTTGAATAGGCCAGCTCCATTGAATCCACTGAACATCGAAGCAGTAAATAGAGATGACACTCCACCAACGACGGAAGAAATTAGATTAGCCATCAGATAAATCAAGGGTTGGAAAGCAGTAGAACCTGAAAACATACCATCTGAAGGATCTGATGCAGACATAAAGGCGAGGATCGGCAAAGCGAGGGCCGCATTCCTACAATTGAAGAACATATGAAACTCAAAACAACCGTCAGCCAATATCAGAGTCAGAATCTTCAATATGAATGGCAAGACAGTTCTACTGAATAGACCTGAAACTTGGAGATCTACCACAAACATCATCAAAAAGGGAGATGTATTTACAGACAGTTGTCCACGCAAGACAATCAATATTTGTTGGGTGAATAGCATCAGCAACAGTCTATTGTGGGAGAGGACAAACAAGATTACAGATGAGTAGGAAATTAGGGGAAGACGCTGGAAGTGGATAGGATACACATTGATGAAATCACCAAACTGCATCATGAAGGGAAACGGAAAAGAGGAAGAACAAAGAACATACCACGCCGAGAATCGAAAGCAGATATGAATAGCAACTGGAAAGGAGTGCTCAGGCCTATGCTCCTCCACTAGGGGTGAGAGGCTTAAGTAACATGATATACCTATTGATAATTGTTGCTATCATAATTGCTGCAATAACTAATGATACATCTCCCCTGGAAAGTGTCAACTTTTGTCGTGAGATTGTGAACTACCGATTAGGACTGAGAAGCTAAAGATAAGTAAAAAATGATTTCTTACTGTTTTGTGAGATGTTTTAACTTCACTATCGACGTCTTTTGCTAATACTTGAGACAACCGGTGTAAAACCTATTATTTTCAATTGAATAAATCAACGGGAAACTTAAGTACGTTCCCTAGTATGCTATCCCTCGTAACACAATACTTGTAGATTTTTAACTGTAGAGTCTACAGCAAGTGTTACTGAAAGCAGTTGTTCATCAAAATGTTTTTATGAACATTCTATAGGAATTTCTAAATAACTGAAATATAGTGGAAATGTAACTGCTCTGATGATACTCAATGAGTAAATGAAGTGTAATGTAAAACTCACAAAAGCGAAAACCCTATTGAATTTCATTTGGAAATGAACTATGACACATCAATGTCTCTTCGTTAATATTACGTCGCTGAAAATGTATGCTTTCAACCAAATTGAATCAATTAAAACGTATATCACCGGATTTTAAAGCAACATTTGACAGAAGCTACTTGCTACTGAGGATCTTCCTGAAATTCTAAAGGATTTACTTATGACTCATCTTCCAGAAGTTCCAAGTAGTTGGATTATAACAAGAAAAATAATTCCCGAAAACATTATATATAATTATTAGCATATTTTAAAAAGGGTATAGTTAGCAACTAAGCTATTTGAGCGTCTTTGACCCCGAGTGATTTAATCACAGCAAGAGAAGACCCTTTTAGTGTCCATGAAACATTTTTATACATAGCGATCCCGTTTTCATTTACTCTAAGATCTGGTTTCACTTGTTCAAAAATTTTCTTTTTGGGATTAAGTTGGTCATCAGGATCGTCTGGAAAAACGGAAAAATCAACTGATTAAGCAGTCAATTAAAAATAAAATCAAGACAGTCCAGAAATTAACAGAAATGTAGTAGTTGAACATAATCAAAAAATGGGTATCCCAAAATTGAATATATCCCGTCTATCCAAAATTGTTAAAGTACGTTCATTTGAGAAATGGGTGTCACTAACTTTCCTCTCAGTCACTATAAGAAATATGAGAGTCAAGTTTTCCAACATAGCTAAGTACTATACTCCGAAAGTCACACAGATGAAAAAAGGAATAGAATAGAACTACTTGGATTTAGGATGCCTGGATTAGGACATATATACCGAAAATAAGCGAATCATTGATTCTGATCAAATCTTTCCTCATTAAGCTTAGTCAGTTTAAAAAACAGTCCGAAAGGTTGTAAAACAATTAGTATGATGAGAATGTCATTTTTAAGACAAACCAGACTGTTTGTGATTTGGTTTAGCGGAACTTCATATGTTCTGTGGTGGCCTGACTTATTTTGTTTTAAACAATTTAGATAACTCGTCCAACTAAACTAGAATATATCTACAAATGTCAATTACATACCACAAAGCACATAATTAATCAGTTAGATGTTCTAAATACACAATACAAATCAGTCTAAGGCCGCTAACGGAAGCTCATTAGATTCTAAATAATTACCCCAGCCTAAAGAATGTGAAGTACATGTTCGTGTTGAGAAAGATATATGTACTATTTACAAATATGTGTACTTCAATCATTAGGTCTAATTATGATAACAAAAACGCGTTAATATTAATCACTAAGTCACTGCACTCAGAATGATTTTAAGCACGATAAATAACCAAATAATGTCAAAAATATCAGCAGCTAAAGTGTGACATTTAATTTTCTTTTGAAAGACTAAGGACAACTAAAGTTATTACTTACGATTATATCCAGGAACCACAACTGAATCACCTAACTGTATATCTGGGCCCTCAACAATCAGAGGCTCTACTCCACATGTATCTGGAGAGCTTGCACACATTAGCATTGCTTCCGATTCAACACCACGCATTTTTGCTGGCTTGAGATTGCAGAGAAATATCCCGACTCGGTTTTGTAGTGACTCGATAGGTAGATATTTCACCAACCCACTGACAACAGTGCGTATTTCATTTCCACCCAAGTCAACCTGAATAAAATGGCGAAAAGCACGTTTTAGGTTATAAAATACAAAGCTTGGACAGGCTAAACACTTTATATAAAATATGAAGGCTGATTTAAAGAGATGAGATAGGAAACCACATACTTTCTCTACGTATAAAGAGTCAGCATCAGGATGGCGATTTACATCTATAATTCGACCGACACGTAGATCCAGACGACCAATATCAACAGGCTTTTCAGCAGATTGTGGTTTTCCATCTGGTATTTTACGTTCGGTATTCCGATTTTTAGTTTTCACCGAGTCCGTTTGTACCTCTGTCCTCTGTTTGGGTTGCTCTGCTATAATAAACCATAAAATGAAAAGTTCTATTACTAGCTCCGGAAGAGATCTTTATGTCAGTATTATGCGGCACTAAAAAAGGTAGCCTAGCACAGAATAAAAATATTATGAAGAAAACTAACACAGAGATGCCTCATTATTAAAATACAAATAAAAAGACTAGTATTCAATAAACGATCAAAACAAACCAAAAGAACAACTAACATCGACTTCATTCGACCACGGAGTTACATCTGGCTTGTTTGAAAAATGCAATGTGAAAACAAACAAGACATAGCTTTTTAGTTCGAGCCACTGACTTGTATGACCCCAGAGGCCCCTCCATGGGCATTGTGACTGGCTAACACTTACCAATCCCTTACAGGATTTTTTTATTTCACATAATAAAATACCCACCTCTACTTTATCCGCCTAGTTTCCACATCGGGAAAATAATGCGCGACAAAGAACATTTGAGAAAATGGTTTATTCCCAACACGATCGGATTCCAAAAGTGGTAGAAACAATTAGTTTATCATAAAGCCCAAGAGCAAAAATAAGATCTCAACATTATTCGCACGGTGTTACAACTGCATGTAGATAAGTCCGTTAGGGGAATGAAAACGGAAAAGCAGTTTAAAAGTTCTCATTTAAGAGCCAGGTTCCATGTGCATTGAGCAAAATGGAGGCATTGTTGAACAGTAACATTCAGTTTGCAAGATTATTTTTATTAACAACAATAATGATTTCGGTTGTTGCCAATGAAGAAATATATGTTTATGGACATAAATATTTGATAATCAGTTCGCCGAAAAGAGGTCTCATTGTTGAAAAAAATAACAATATATTCATTGAAACCTGCAGTATTAGAAGGGCCATCAGTGGCAGTGATTCAGACTTACTAAATTTATATTTACTGACAATGTCTCATTCCCAATATTTACATTCATTTTGTAGGTTGTAACCGTCTTTAAGTATCTGATCTTAATAAGCAAACAATATCCAATATTGCCCCGGTAACAGTAAACCAGCTTAGCGAAAAACGGTGACATCACGCAAAATACTATATATTACGAGGACAGTTATTAATATAATAAACCTAAATATGAATCAAGAACTAGAAATTAAACGAGCCCATTTTTCACATTCTGACATAAAGGATCATACCATTGGAAAAAGTGGATTAATAGAGAGAAAAAACAGAAACTAACCTTCCGGCACTAATCCTTTATCGGACAAATGTCCGATTTCCAGTGAATTTCCATTCAAATTAGAACCATTGGATACAGCCTTAACAGAGGGTAAATGATGAAGTTGTTGTTGATTTACTATTTGTAAAAAGACTTATTAGTTAACTTGACTAACATCCAAGAAGTAGCTCCTGCTGAATAACTGATTCTTTTAACGACTTTATTCTGTGCAGCAACTGTTTATTCTGTACTTTGAGGCATGCTTCAACATAGTTTACTGCATCTGGTGTTGCAATTGATTCCAAATGTTTCAACTTGTCAGAAATAGATTGCAATAGCTTGTTCATCTTTAAAACGAATGGAAATGTCCCCATAACAAAAAGCATTTGTAGTAATCGGAAGTCACACAAAAAATATACAGTGTAATTCTTAATACACATCTGTGAAATCAGGTGTGAGAAATAAGTCAGTCAGTCAGTCAGTCAGCTACAACGTAGGACCAGGGACATATATGCATCGGTCCAGGTTGCCGTACCGCATTAGCACAGCAAGATGAACACAGGATTCATATCAGTGGTTAGGTCAAAGGTGGTAATATATAGGAGAAAGATTGCATATAAGGATACAGTACAGGAAGAAAGAATTAGTTAGTAGAAAGAAAGATATGAAGTGATTTTAATCTCTTAGTTTAAGGGAAGACAGGGAGTGTATACACCTACGCCATTGTGGTCTATTCTGAGCCATGTCACCAAGAGTCTCCAACCATTGGTTACGAAAGTCACGCGGACCCCAACCAAGTAGTCTGCATCTACCAACATGGCTCAGACTAGAGTTTAGTGTCTTCAAGCACTGATGCCACGTTTTGGTTTGGCCGCCCCTAACTTTCTTCCAACCGTCTCCAATACCGGATAGCATTGCACGACGTGGTAATCGGTGTTCAGGCATACGTAACACGTGGCCCAACCATCTCAGTCGATGAAGATCAACAACCTCATCAACTGATTTACCATCATTACCTAATACCCTGCGTCTAACCTCACTATTACTTACCCGGTGATCTCAGCAGACGCCAGCAATATTTCTGAGGCATCTGTGGTCAAATACTAGTAACTTACGGGTGTCTTCTACTCTTAATGGCCATGTTTCGCTGCCGTAAATTAAAACAGAACGGACTGCCGCGCAGTATACTCGTCCTTTTATTGATAGACGGATATCTCGCCTTCGCCATAGGTGACGTAAGTTGGCAAAAGCCAAACGAGCTTTTCGAATCCGTGCTGAGATTTCGTCACACACCAACCCATTAGGGTTGATCAGACTTCCAAGATAAGTGAAGTTGTCGACGCGTTCGACTACTTCACTCCCTATCCTTAGTTTAGGTGTTGACGCAGACCAGTCCTGGAGCAACAACTTGCATTTAGAGGGAGAGAAGCGCATTCCAAACATTCTGGCATTGTTGCTTGGTGCTACCAAAAGACTGCATTTCATCAGCGTCTTCACCAAACAGGACTATGTCATCTGCGTATTCTAAGTCGATAAGTGGATTGGGAGCAGATGAGAGTGCCGTCTTTTTCCGAAATAATCTCACTTACACTTGACTTATTAGTTCCAGTTTCATTTATTAGTCTATAAAGCTGTCTTGTGTTCCCTATAGCCGCCGCCTTTTCCATCTCTTTTCCTTTCGTTGCCCACCACTGCTCACGGTCGTTCCTTAGACTTTTGCTTAACCTAGATCTGATTTGTTGTCGCTCTTCATCGTGTTCAGAGCCTGATGGGACGATTTTTCGAGAATCCATCAGTGCTATAGATCTTGAAGAAATCCATTGGTTTTTTGTAACCCTGTGGTTTAAATCACTGATAGATGTCACTGTTGTTTCCACAGCTGTTTGTATATCTTTCCAAGCAAAATCTGGGTCAGCCTCGTTTTCAGAACTACCTAATTGTGACCTCAGTTGTTCCTGGAACCTACTTTAGGTTTTCTCGCTACTCAATTCAGTTCTAATGGGTCTTTTTACTGTGGCTTTTTTGCGTCCAGTGAGGCGCAAGCAGATGCGTGCCCGTATTAGGGCATGGTCAGAGTCCAAGCAGGTACTCCGGTATGAACGACAATCTTCTACCGACCCTCTCCAACGATGACTGATGGCAATGGTTCTATTTGAGTCCATCGTTGGTTTGGTGCAAGGGGTCGCCATGTTAGACGACGTCTCTCCTCACGCTTTAAACTAGTGCTTGTTAAAAATAAACGATTGTCGGTGCACAGTTGCAGCAGACGATCACCATTATCTGTTCACTGAGCCGGAATACCAAAATGCCCACCTAAATGCCTTTCTGTTTGGTTTAAACTACCTATCTGGGCATTAAAGTCACCTGCTACGAGTACTATGTCTGAACGTTTAGCTTTTTGAAGAAGTTCAGATAGCTTTCTGTAAAATTCATCTTTCACTTCATCTGAGCTGCAGTCGGTGGGAGCGTAGGCAGAAACGACTAAAAGTCAACGACGTGTGTCCCTATCCTTCCGAGTTCTTACGTAGCCGTTTAGCCGAACAGCACATAAACGAATGTTGACGGGGATCCACTCTAATAGTGCTTGTTCCGCCCTCATGCTTAGTGCTATCCCTACTCCTGCTGGCCATCGGGTCACCAGATACATGGAGGGTGTGTCTCGTTGGCTCTCCGTTTTGCCGAGGTGAGGTCAAGTGAATGACCACACTGGAATCCTGTATGCGTGTTTCAGAGACACAGCATACATCAATGGAAAGAGACTCTAGGGTTTTAGCCAAGGAAGCCTGCTGATCGATTTGACATAGGGTGCATACATTGAAGGCTTCAATGCGTAGTTTGGAGCGAGGTTTCAGTAGACCTGGGACAGTGTTTTGCGCACTAGAATCGTTGGCTATGGTGACACTTGAGGGGGAAACCGAAAGAGGAAATTTAAAGTTGAAAGTCGATGTAGGAGGAATAACAGGAATTGAAGAGGAAGGTTGATTATGAATACAGTGGTCTTGAGTGTTGTTAGAGGTATGAGGGCGGTTATCACTTCCCGATTGCCCACACCGTAGAAGGGTTCTTCTGGAGGTATCTGAAAAGGAAATTGGATTAGAGGTGGTCTTATTGACCTGAGAGCGTGACCGCAGTGCCAAAGGGACAACTGCTTGAGGTCAGTCATACACGACCTTTTCATGGGTAATTTTTGTGTTAGCTTCGTACTTGTTGAGACCTTACCGCCGGAAACGGATATCCGTGGGATAAGGCGAGGTGTGCATTTTTAGGGTCGACCTTTTCTAACCCCACCCCTCCATGTGGGAAGGCAGCATCGCTGTCATGCTGGTTGTCTGAAGCAAACACCTTACTGCTGTCACACCTCTGTACAGTCAGCAGTACGACTTCGCCTTCGGACCTTGGGTTTGTTGCTTTTAGTCTTACCGCTCTTCAACCGACCTGTCTGACATGGTAGGACCTTGAGGAACGGTTGTTCCAGCCAGTATAGCTCGGTTGCTTCATCACGATAGGCAAGCCCGACCACCATGTCAAGGTAGCAACAACGGTCGGGAGTGAGAAACAAAGCCACTGTACATAAGATTAGTATTATTTACATGTATATGAAACAACCGAAGTCATGGTTAAAGTTTACTACATTACATTGGCGACTCCATATATATTAAAATATTACCCAAAGATATACCGAATTCGAATTAATCCGACCTAAGACCTGGCACTGTTATACAACGTTTGAACATAAGATGGCCTATTGGGATGCAAGAAAACTGAACTCAAGAAAATCATGCTGGTTTTAGATGTGACCGTCTTCGAATAAATCAAGAACATTTTGTGATGCTCTAGAGAAGAACTAACCACATTATTTCACGTTATATACAAATAGCACTGATTTAAGCCTACTAATAGAGAACGTACAGAATAATTACACAAATGCAATGGACAGCGGCACAATATACGGCATTGTCTGCAGATAAGATATTTATCGATTTCAGAAAGGGTGAGACTATAATTAGTGCACGACATTTGAGAGACGCTATAATGACTTTGAGTGTCTACCTACTTAATAGGGCTAAGTGAGGGTTATAAAGCAGTTTGAAGAATAAGGATTATGATTTATAGTTGATGGTTGGGGTCAGGAATTAGATTTATGGTTTTCATCACGACCTGACATCCGCTATAATACCAGGATTCCATTTAGCCAAATGGGTGAATGAATTTCGCGCCAAAACGCAAGACCCGTTATCGTAAACCTGATTGGTTCGTCCACAAATTGTAGTCTCGCCTGCAGACACTATTTTTTACAGATGATATCAAACTCATGAGTATAATGAGTAATGAGACTGATTACCTTGCTATCTAGGCTGATTAAAGTCTGATAATAGAAAGAATATGCTGGTCACAGCGCAATACTTGCCCGAATAGCGCCAATAAGATGCGTCTTCCAGAAGTCCTGAAACAAAAAGATCTAGAGGTAATATTGCGTTGTGAATTGAGAACAACTGGTCATGGTAATACAGTAGTAGGATAAGTTTTTCACGCGCATTACGTCGTTAAATAAATCAGACAATCATGCAGGCAAATGTTAACAATATTTAATTCGCCATACGGAAAAGAACAACAATGAGCTAATTCCTCACCAGACCCCCTGCAATAACTCACCCTCGCAACCCGATAGTACCGAACACTTTGTACGGCGCGCCAAACACCACGCAATAACAAAAAGCAAAACAATTCGTGTTATTTTTCTTCTTCGAACAGAGTTTAGCTCGGCTCCAGAATACTATGTAGAAGACATTTTCGAGATATTTTGTTTTTTTTTTTCAAGTAAGCTTTCATGAGTGCTTAATCTCAAGGACGTGTCAATCGGACCCAACTTCTCTATGTAGTACGTCCAAAGAACTCATAAACCTGTGAGAAAACCTGTGTGTCACCGGGGTATTTTACACATAGAATCAGCGAAATCGTCAGCTATGTTTACTGAACTGTTCCGACCCCAAATCATTTCTTAGTACTCTATACCTCAAAATAAAATAATCGCTTAATCTGCAGACGGACAGTGCAAACAAGTATAGCTCCCAGGTATCATTTCATACGGCAGGCCACAGACTCCCGGAATTGTAAAGGTAGCTAAATTTTTCATAAACTAGGAGGTGATTCAACATTTTAACCGATGGTTGGGGGCTGAAAGCATTTTTAAAATTCAGACCTCACCTCTGTACGTCATGATGGACATATTTGCACCCAACCGAACCATTTAGCATAACCGGAAGGTCCATAGTCAACCTCGGAATAAATTCGTAAATTCCCAACTCTCCTTTTCGGTTGTAGCCAGCGAAACTGGACTAGACCAAAAATTCTAGTCAGGCCTATGTAACTGATTTCTACCGACTTCTTATTATTGTACGGCTCTTTTCACCTGTCTCTTTCTGTTACAAGGTTACTTGTGTGTGATAATCTTAACAATGCCATAAATATACGGTGCTAGAAGACATTATTGTCTTAACTCCTTTTGAATCGAAGATCTCGAGGCCGGGCAAACCAGAAGACAAGAATGAGAGGGTTCAAATATTTACTGGAAAATGGTCAAAGCCTTTGAAAGTACTTGACCCATGCCGACTATGTGCCGTAGGAGACGTCCAGCACAGCCTACCTAAATGTAGTCTCGTGCGGATGTTCGACCAGCGGCCCCTAACTAGAAGCATGTCCAGTATTTCCAAGTCTTTTAAAGACTAGTCATTTAGGTTTTGACTTGCCATTAAAACCTCCCCCGGAATCATTAACTGCATTACATGTCGTTTGTTTATACAAAAGCCATTATGTCCGTTCCGGTTACTACGTATTATGTGTTAACTAGTACACTGGTGAGGCCGACAGGTTTTTGGAGGATTGTGCAGCATAAGTGGCTTTTAAACCCACATGGTTTATTCTAGCTTCCGACAAGCTAATTTATTCATTCTTCCGAAACCACATTTAGACCTTGTCACTCATTGGCTTATTTATTCCTAATGTTTTTAGATGAGCGTATGTTTGTGCACACCCTATCCTACTCATCACAAATGTGATTAACATGTTTCATATGTTTATTGACTGTAACAGAAAGAAAACGCTGAAAGTCCCGCCACACCATTTTTGTTGTACAGTAATGTTATTTATCTGTTTCTTTTCCCGGTCTTGTATTTTAACATTTTTTCAGATCTCCTTTAACGAAACTTTGTGTTTTTTAGTCTTCTTTGTCTGAGCCCTTATTGTGTGATTTTGAATATGAACTTATATTTTGTAACCTAATTTCCTGTTGCATGTTGCCGGACGACTGACAATAAGGTCATGTTTGACTAAGCTCAAGGTCACAGCGTGGTTCAGTGTGTCACTGTGAACCTTTGGCTGTCTGCTTGTAAAGGTTTTCGGAATCACTACAGATAGATAAATGACCCTATCTTGTCGGGAATATTGTTACTGATCCTCAGGTAGAGAAAGTTTTGTCAGTAAAGCACAGGCTGTACCGTTTGAGGTATTTTGTATTTTTGATATAATCAATTCTATTTCGTAATTCAGAGCCGTTTAAATTGAGCACAGAGTTTGCGTTTTGATATAACTTAACACGAGTAACTGAAAAACTCCTCGTTAGCTATACAGAAGAACATAGTCTGGTACAATCGAGTATATTTTGGTTTGTTAGTTCTGCGTTCAAACCAAGTATTGGGATATCGGTTTTTACATTACCTTTATTCAAATGTCCAGAGCTAATATCAACTTCAGTTATTGTATTTTCAGCTACATGGATTGTGTGTCAAGGAAATAATGTCACCAGAACCCGATCTAGCGTGCGATTACCCTCATGTTCTATCGCAAGTAATAAGTACTGCTGGTAGATGATAATGAACTTACTGAAACGAGGCAAATCAATCTGTTTAAGACTCACGTAAGACAATTCGTGGCAAATTTCTAAACGTGGGAAAAATTCTACCTAATTAAAGGTGAACTCAAGAGAAGCATTGGGGAAATCTGTGAAAATTTAGTATACATGTAGACAAAAATTCATCGTTTTGGCACCTTTTGACCAACCTGGGGAAGCACTTTGAACTTTCTCAAAAATCTTAATGAGAGGTAATGTGTCAAAGTCGATGAATCACCTTAACATGAATAAGTATCGAGTGATCTGTTTCTCCCCTAAATTGCCACTGAATAGTCTGCTTTTATACCGGTTAGAATTAAACAGCTTGTTGAATCCTAGATATATACCAAAAAATTTATTTTCGTGGAGAATCGATTTTTACCACAATAACTAAAAGCATATTTGGAGGACGTTTTATACTGTTTATTTATCAGTTGGGTTATTATTACCACCTCCAAAGTAAAAAGGTATGAAACAAATCACTGACTGACAAATATACCTTGGGTATCTCCTTGTCGAAGAGACAGGTCGACGGCCTCCAACTCCTCTTCATTATGATAAAGGAGATTGTAAGCTATGTAATGTGACACCAATTCTGTTCGATCGGTCATCGAATTCAGGAGATTTCAATAGAGGTATAGTCCGTCTCATATTTGCTGGCACTTCAACAATGCTGGCTGAAATTTTAGCTAAATTGAAATTTACTCTTGATAATCTATGAGACTGAAGACTATTTAAAGCTTGCTCATTCTAAAGTGTAGTGTTACTAGGCGTCAAGGCACTGATTGATGGCAACGACCATAGGTAAAGATCGCAGACTTACTTTGCGACCCGAGAGTTTAAATTGTCTATTAGTTTAAACTTGGGATATTCAACTGGGCCATACCTAATTTGCAATTCTGCGGCAACCACGTGGATAGAATCATGCATTCGATTCACTAGGTTTCCGCAAACAACCATTAGCGAGAACTCGCTTTCAGTTATCTGTACATAAACTTCAAAAGTCTTAATCATGCTTTTTTTTATTCAACTCAATTGGTAGGTGACTAAATCAAGTCAGGCGTAAAACAAAAATAATACAATAAGGAGGTGATTGACGAGTTTTCAATTGACCGAAATCGTTAAATACAATAAATTTTATGATTATGGAACTGTCAGAGCAATGAAAGTTCTTTGTTAACTCAACATCGGCCGAGCTATCTGAATACAAGTATACTTGTTCAGTAATGACCACTTTTTCAATACAATAGGAATCTTTCTCCTAACTATAAAAACTGAGAACTGGGGACTTTTAAGGTGTATGCTAAAAGAAATTTAAAAATAATAGAACAGGTTGTGAAACCAAGAGGACAAATTATGCATAGTCGCTTGCAAAAACGACGTAAAATAAGGGACTATGGCTTCAAATTCAACTCGCTATATGGCTCTAAACGTACATGATACCTCTGTGATGGCTAATTACACATTTTCACGAACGACTACTGAAAACATAAATATACCTATAACGATCGAAGTAGCAATATTCGGTTTGGACGTAGAACTAACGAACCAAATTTTATTCGACTAAGCATGATTGACTTTGTTTGTATACCATACGAGGAGTTTTTGAGTTACTGGCAATCAATCGTATTAAGACACAAACCGTGTCCAATTTAAACAGCTCTAGTTAAAGGAGAATAAATTATATAAACAGCACACAATATCTCAAAGAATACATCTTGTGCAATACAATTGAGAGTTTTTCTAGCACAGGCAAACGTGCTGAACAATAAAAGGAATATATACATGATTTAAAATAATGATATAATACTCATCGAGTGGATACGTTACGTAATAAATTCGTAATGACATTTAGATTAACATTGAGCAATTGGAAGAAAGAGGATTAATAATATTCAAGGTAATTATTAAATCAGGAAGTTGTTACGTTGCATAATATATGAAAAAGAGAAGGAACAGAATTTTTAATGGATGGTCAATAAAATAGTAGTTACGTAAGAATCAAGAGATGAATGTTGAGAACTAACAGAGTTCAAAAACAACATAAACAAAATTAAAAATTGGAAAAACCTGAAAGTAGGAAGTTTGAAAAATGGCTCTGTTGAAGGAAATCTCGTACGGATGGCCAAGGCAGCTAAAGTGGTTGTACAAATTTCTTTTGAATGCAAAGGTTAGGTTTGTGAACATTGACTGCGATGGCCTCCGCAATGTGCGAAAGGCGCACTCGCAAGCCATGTGGCAAATGTGATGAAGTATGGTAGATAAACTTAAAAGCTTTATTCAATTCAACTTGATGACCTGTGTCAACTAACTGAGCGATAATCGAACTTTTAATCACTTTTACCTGTCCTTTGCTTAACCACGACGGATGGTGCTCTGTAATACGATAACGAACTTGCCGAATTGTACGCCTTATATAACTGCCTCCACAGGAGCAGTTGAATAGATAAATACACATGGATTTAGCGAATTCAGGCAGTCTGTCTTAATTATCCGTTCTTATTTCGGTGTGGTTGTAGAAGATAGCAATAAGTATGGCTGCATTATTTACTAAATGTCGAAATGGGAATTTTCACTACATTGAAACGTTCTGAGCAAACATTCACGTTAAAGATTCTCAACAAGTATCTGAAGTATAGCGCAAGGCTCAGTAAGGCGATGGCAAATGTTAACGAACAAAGACGCGTGATGAAGAAAAGAAGAGGGACCTCAACAACGCTAGTATCAACGGAGCATGTAATGGTACTTGTAAGGACATGCTGAAGCTCAGCACCGTCATACCATCAAAGGTACTATACTCCCTCAGAAAACTTGAGT